ATATATCTATTATTTATATATAATATATCATATATATTTATATCATAAATATTTGTATATATATAAATTTATATATATACATTATATATATATATATATATATATATATATATATATTTATATTGTTTGAAAGGGATCTCATAACAAATGCCTTGCTATTTATGAATTCCCTATCTGCATAATAAACAAAGGCTTGTGATTGTAAATATGAATTTTGAAATAAAATTTTGATTTATGGGTTAAATCTTACCTGAGCAACTCTCTTCATCAAAGACCGTCCGTATCCCCTTCCTACAATCAAATGGAAGATTAATTATATAAACTATAGTAAAGCTTGGCCTTCTTTTTTAATGTTATTCATTCACTAACCTAGTACGTCATTCAGTACATAATGATAATAAAAATGTGTATATTTAATCAACCTACCTCTAAATTCTTTCATAATATACAGGTCCTCCATATAGACCACTTTGCCTTTCCAAGTACTGTAAGTGTAGAAGAAAATGCTATAGCCAATCACCTCGCTTGTTTCATTCTCTGGTCTTTTATATTCTGCAACGAGACATGAAACGAGACCGCCAGAATCAAATATATCTTTCTTTAGTCCTGAAAGAGGAATGAAAATCGAAAAGACTGTTGGGAGATCGTTTTTCAATATTCCTGTTTAGTCGCATAGCAAAAGGCGCTACATAAATATTGAAAAAAGTTCTAATGCACTTATGAAACACTTTGTATACGACCTTCCGTTGTGTTCTGTACTTCCTTTTCTGCATTTTCGAAGACTGCCAGTTCAGTAATCATCCTCATTACCGCAGCACAATCCTCTGGCATAGCTTCTCGTATATTGAAACGTTCTTCTTCCATGATCTTGTGGGCCTTTATTGCTCCAAAACAATAAATCAAATATAAACTTTAGCAGGTCAAACCGGCCTGCCGACTCCTTCAACAGACACGTGTGATGATGAACTGTAAACATTGAATGTGACACGGAAATGCGTCATATAAATGAGAAGGTGGAACTGAATATTCTGAAACTAGGCCCTCTAGCGATTGGGAAGTAACTTCTACCAGATTTCTGCTAATAGAAACCACATGATCTTTATGGCCAACTGGTAGTAACCCACCTAAAAAGTTGATCTGTAATAATGACCCACTACGTACCGGTAGGCCTACTCTAAGAGTAAACTAGTAGGGTTTAATTTTCTGATAATAATAAACAGATAATCAATTTGGCTATTTTTTTTTATTCAATTTGTATAGCTAACTTAATTTATTCCTCATTTTATTGAATTGTATATACCCATTAATTTATTGATTTGCCTAATTTGTACCGTACATCCAAGCTGTAATTCAGCCTGTGCTACTATTTTTGGAATTTGATGGATTTGATATGTGAATGAAAAACAGTTACGACCAATTAGTATTGTTATGTGTCCCTCACTTTTATATATCAACTTTACTGTATATTTGTAATACGTCGTTTTCTGGTGCATTTCAAACACTTGAAATATTATTACTTTAAAGTGTATTGTACATTTCAATTTTTCCTTAAATTTTCAGTAAATCGCGCCTTGTATCTTATATCCTGTCTTCCTTTTTATCTCAAATTGTACCAATTTAAAAAATAAAATTGCCCTTTATATTACGTTATGTTGCGTTCATTTGAAAAAATACGGTATGTATTTCTCTTTCAATTATTAGCAAATTGTAAAAAATATTCTTTAGATAATACAATCTTATGCCAGTCTTCGGTGGCTGTTAGGTCTGTAGAATTGACAGACTCGTAGAGTTTAATTGCAGGCTTATTCCAACCAAGTACTTCCCACTGCATTCTTTGGCAACCTTTTTCTAAAGCAATCTGCAAAAACAAAAATCATAAAAACTGCAGAAAAGGCGAAAAGTTGGAATCCCGGCCCTGTGGACCAATATAACGTTTTAAGCTCCCTCCAAAAATTTATCGCGTCCCCAGTCGCCCCCCCCCCCGAAAAATCATTTACG